AAACGGAATTTCATAGACCAGGGCAAGGGATAAAAGTTGAGAAAGGCATTCTAATCAAAGGGGAACAGCATGTGCAGTCACAAAACAGCATGGCACCTTTCAGAGAACTGAGATGATTAGTTGTGTCTGTCTGAAAAATGAAGAAAGTGAAGGGAGAGACCAGGTAGGGATAAAGTTGTTGAGATTGATTCGGTGGGACTTTTCTATTTTTCAAAGTAGCTAAGCCCATAGAGTTCTAGTGCCATCCATGGTTTTACATGTACATTTGTTTTGATTTCATTCATTCCCATTTTATAAAAGAACTGAGTGAATTAAGAAAAGGTAAATAAAAAGTAGGTGGGGTCAAGATTTGAAACATGTCAGTTGAGTTCAGAGCTCCATATCTTAAAATCTGCACTGCCCTTCCTGTCCAATGTCAGGAGTATGGAGCTTTGAAGAGCTTTGAAGCTCTCTGTCACAGTGGTGCAGATGATAGTTGAAATATTTGTGAGTAGTAAGATTGGAAACCGCCTGTTGCAAGAACTGAGGCAAGAGATGATGACAGCCTGAATTTAGAACAGAAGGAGGTAAAAGCTGCAGAACTTAGGTTTGATGTGATCTGGCTTGAAAAATTGCTTTGGTGTTGGTATCATGAACCAGACTATTAACAGGAAAAAGGATCCAGTTTGGGACACATGGTGTCCATAGTCTGTGCAGGTAGAGAGATGTAGCAGAGAGTAGGAGATTTAGGTCAAGTGATAGGGAGGTAAAGTTTTAGAATCATCATCTTGGAGGTTATCATTACCCCTTTCATATTAAACCCTCATACATGTCAATACCTCCTACTGATACTGCCACCACTGAGAGCCTATGTTGTGAGAAAATGGCCATAGAGGAAATTCTAGCGAATTGGTATTCAAAATATAGTCCACTGACTGGTAAATTAGTAGTTGCTTATTATTCCTTGATAACATAAAGGATCTGCTTTAGAAAGTATATTTAGAATGTAATCACAGTGTCACTAGGTACACTGCTTGCTTTAGTTGCCTTTTTTTTATCATAGCAAGATTTTTTGATGAAGTAAGCAAGGCATTGATTAACAACCTGACGCAAACTCTTGTTTCTTCCCAGATCAGTACTAAAAAAATAATTATTGGATTTTGGCAATTATAGGGCCATCATTTTAGGAATTCTCACCCTTGCTTATGTTTCTGTACCTTCTGCTTTCTTACTAATATATCTCCTGAATATGTCTGATTTGTACTTTCTCAGAATATACCAAGATCTCTTTGATTCTTAATCTTAAGTACTCTTGGACTTAATCTTTATATTATCTCTTGACCAATTTGAAGTTATTGATCATGGGGCCCTACTTGACATACTGTTTCCTCTACAATACACTGATCTTGGTTTTCCTCCTCATACCCCACCAACCTTTCTCTGCCTATCTGTCCTACAAACATGGCGTGTTTTTCATTAGACACCCCTCCTTCTCTGTATATATTATGTTAGGTATCAATTTCAAACCTAAATCCAGCCCACATTTCTTCCCTGAGCTACAGAGCTATCTTTACTTGAATGCCCACAGATTCTTCAAGCTTGTTACTTCTAAAGATGAACTTAAATTCTTACCTACATTCTTCCTATAATTCCTCCTCCATCATCTATCCTCTATTTCATGTTACAAAATTCCAGTGGCATAAGCATCATCCTTGACTTTCTTTCTCTTTCTTATCCAATTAATTAGTTACTGATTTCACCTCCTAATGACACATCAAGTCTGTAACTCTCCTGTCCCCACTACCTCCAGCTCTGCCACCATTATCCCTCACTTGGATAATTGGATTATCCTCCTAGCTGGGCTCCCCTTTTCAGTCTTATCTGCAATGTCCTCCCCACACTGCAGCGGGAGTCATCTATCTAAAATAATGTGAATGTGATTATACCACTCCTGTGTTGAATTCTATGTCTTCTACTCAACCCTCATTTTGATGCTCTTCCTGTATTGATTCAAGTCAGATTCATGGACTTTTTTTTTTTTTCTTCAAATCTTAATGTTCTTTCTCACTCTCCACCTTCTTCACACATGGTCATGTGCCTGTTCAGAGAACATTTATGTTCCCTTCTAGCTCATGAGTTTGTACTCCTTTAGGAAGATGTTACAACCCTGTAAATCTGGATTATGTAGAATTTCTCTGGTTTCCTAAAGTTCTGTTGTCCTATGACATATCCTTTTCATATTGTTTTATAATTTCTCATTTTTGTCCATTAGTGACTTCCTCTGAATTTTAAGCTCCAGGAAGGCAAGAACCGTATCTGTTCGGTACATCTTTATACTTCAGGCTACTAGTTTGTTAAATGAAGTGAATGCTCTTCTGAGTACTTTCAATCCATTATCTCAGTGGGGGTGAAGTTTAACTATTTGGAGAGGATTTTAATGAAACATGAGCTGTTGGTGGATTAGAAGATTAAATTATTTGTTGAGTTGTCTTGCACTAGTAGAGGAAGGTGAAGTTAGTCAGGAAAGCTGGTTAGGAAAGTAAAAGTGTTTATTTCCACCTCATGGAACAAAGAGGAAGAGGTTTTTTAAAATTAGTTTGCAACTTTTAAATTTTACCTTCTAATAAGTTGAGGCCTCTCAGGGGTATATGTGTGTGTTTAAATATGAAAATCTATTGGATTCTTCATTATTTAGGACTTGTTTTATTTATCTGAAAAAACTTTAGGTGACACAATTTATCTTGTCTACTTTGACCATTGAATTTTTTTTCTTTGGGGGAGGTATGTAGAAGTTATCAATTTTATTGTAGCTTTTCTGTTTCTAAAAAAGTGAAATGAAATTTATTTTGAAAGGTTTATTTGGGTTTTTAAGCAGGGAAAGAGAAGTAAACACCAAAAAAATAGTAATAGGCAGTCTATAAGAAGAAATCTAGGCTGAGACAACTTCAATAAGATAAACTCTTCTGAAGACAAAATAAATGCTAACCCCTCTAAAAGTCAAGGCAAAAGGTATAATGTGATATGATACACTGCCTGAAATCTTTTAGCATCTTCTCAAATATGAACTTCCAAACACAAGAGAACTCAAAATTCAAGATAGACTTTGAAGTCAAATACTTGAAGTATAGGTTAAGTTAAATTCCAGCTGTGCCAGCTGGAAAGTAAATGCTCTGTTTTGAAACTATTAGAGATTGGCATGTGTTCTCTCTTACCTGATCATTCTCTGGGATTCTACATGGATGTAGATAGCAGAGTATTTAAAGAAAAGGAAGACCAAGGCTTTTTCTTTAAAACACAACTTTAAATCCACTGAACTCCATAAAAATAATATTCACTTGACCCCCTTATTCTCTGAAAATCATGGACAAGAGATTCTTGATTTGGCACATCTTCAGGAGAGGGTGCCATAGTTAGCTGCCTCTGTAAGAAAACCAGTCTAATATAGATTTAGAGTGGCTAACCTACCTTAGGTTCTGATAGTTCTATGAGATAAGATAGCTCAGAAATGCATCCCACGTAACTCCATAAAGTGACCAGTTAAATGGAGTTGTTTTGGACTTCCTGACCTTGATTGAACTTAGGGTATGTAAATCATAGTGGTGGCTTCAGCAAATGAAGATCACTTGGCCTGTTTATATAAGAAAGTTTGGTATAGAAATGGGTATACAGGGCCTCCCCGGTGGTGCAGCTGTTGAGCACTGGGTTGCGAAGCTGCCTGCAGCCTCTGCAGCGCTGGTTCGATCCCTGGCTGCTCCCCGGACACCGGAGGAGGGTCCCATATGGCGCGCAGACCTCTCCTGCCGCCCGCTGCTCCCCTCAGCAGTGTACTTCGGTCCTTCTGCCTGCTCTGCTCCCCGCTCTGGCTCTGGTGAATTCTCTCACCCTCCCCCACTTCTGACTGTACCCAGTGCTTGTATAAATAAATAAATAAATAAATAAATAAATAAATAAATCTTTAAAGAAAAAAAGAATGGGTATACAAACACCTCATCTAAAAGTGGTAGGGATTTATTTAGATTTTAAAAATAAACTGAAGGTACAAGGTTGTTTTGTGTAATTTAAGAAAAGTCTTGAATCATGGCGTTAGAGTTAATACCAAGATCACATGGTTTCACACATACATGCCATTGGTAGAGATGAGGCTGATAGTACATTAATAAAGGCAACCAGGTCTTCAACTGTTCTTCATTTTGTGAAATGTAATAACGCTGTGTAAGAAAGAATAATCATTCCTCGTATTAGACTGAGAAAATCCAATCCATATCTAGTAGAGAAATCTGGCAAAGAGCTTTGGCAGGAGAGCCAATATACTGGCACATCTGGAGTGTGATGGGAGAACTCGCTGAAGAAAAACATACTTAAGGAGTGAAAGTAAATGAGGTTTTTGTTTATTCTGGAAATGGGATAATAGTCTCCCCCAACACTGTAACTGCTGCCCAATTATTCCTCAGAGCCTGATAGGGATTGTCTTTATTTTCGGTTTATGTATGATTATTTCCATGGTCTTTAAGTTTCCCAGATGAGTAATTTTAATGTGCTGCCTGGAGTGGGAATTTTGGTTAAAGAAGGAAAGACCAAGAAGAATGGTGTGATGAATACCATACAGAGTATAAGCCTCACCTATGTATCAGCTCTTCTTACCTAGTCACTTTCTTGTTCTCACATAAGATGGGGGAAACAGGGATTTTTATATTTTCAAGAAATGTGGAAATATGGGTATGGACAAGCATTGTCTAATCACAGAGAACCAGAAAGAAAATCTAGGCAACTCAGTACACCCAACCTTTGTACAACCTGGCGTCACCCACCTTCAATTAAATTGTAGTCATTTATGAGCACACATTTTTTCAGAACTAGTCTTGGAATCAAATATCTCAAATTACTTACCAGTGCAGTAAAAGAAATTACAGAATTCAACAGAATGAAATGTGCTTTACTTTTCAACTGTCCAATTAATTAAAGTTAATCCTCACATGATGGTTATAGAACCAAGATATGAAAGTCCTTCTCTTTTTCTACAGAGTACAGCACAATCCACAGCCCATCCACACCCATCAAAGATTCAGATTCTGATCGATTGCGACGAGGTTCAGATGGGAAGTCACGAGGACGGGGTCGACGAAACAATAATCCTTCACCTCCCCCAGATTCTGATCTTGAGGTATGCCATTGCCAATATCCAGTGAAAAACAAGATGTCTTAGTAGCTAAACAGTAGTTCTATGTGAATGGAGTGAATGGAGTGTGTGAATGGAGTGATCAAGGTGTCCAAATGTCATTGCTTTCTTTTCCATATTAATTATAGGTAAAGCATTTTTCTCTTTCACTTTAATTATAGGTAAAGCAATTATTTTTTTCTCTTCCATTCTGACTACATGGTAAAGCATCTGCTTATTTCTCTCCAAAGAACTATAGTAAATTATATCATTCTGCTTGAACAAAACTCTCCTGCACTGCTCTGTATCATTGCCATTTCAATTAAGTGTCTGTCATACTAAAAATGCTTAGTAAAATCCACTTTGAAATTAAAGACACATTTATGTGTATTGAGAAAGGAAAGTCTGGAATGTTCTAAATTGAAATGGTAATCACCTTATGAGACATGTTTTGGTGGAGTTCAAAAGCAGGAGGGATTATATAAAACCTTAAAGGGTGGTAAATTTCATAGCTTTGAATCCACTGCAATTAAGTTTATGTTTTTTGCCAAAGTAAAATCTGATGGTGGAAAACATGATTATTTTGGCTGAAAAGATGAAAATTTTCCAACAGAATCTATGTGTCTGAATATGTACTGGTATGAGTGGGAATGGGATGAAAAGCAGGCTTGGGAGGTCTTTTGTGGCATCTCAGAGACCTTTTTGAAATGAATTCCTGCAAATCCAATTCTAAATACTCCAAGTGTGTCTAAGAATTTGTGTTATGTGTCTGTTTAATTTGTTAACTATCTGTTATCTGAAGAAAATTTGGCAGGAACAATTTATATTCTGTCCATTTGCTAACAGCCCAATAGGTAAAATAAGGTGAATAGATGATGTAAAGTGTTAGATTTTATGCATAGTTTTTTTAATATTTGGCTTTATAAAACATAACTGGCAATTTTAACACATCTTAACAGAGAGCAGAAATTTAAAAATGATAAATGATTTTTGATTAATTACCCCCTCTATCTCAGAAGTTATGAACATCTCATTTTCATTTCTTTATTTTCTACCTCCACCATAGAGGTAGAAAGAATATAAACGTATGCTGACGCTGAAAGTACATATTATTGTTTCTTTGCTTTATTTATATCACTGGTGTCAATAATAATTCTCCTTTTGTATCTCATCTGAGGTTCTGTTTGAGAAAAGCTGGGAAGTACTTTTTGGAACAGTTGTATTTAAAAAGAAGAAGACTTTGAATTTATTAATTTGTTTACCATTTAAGACTACCTTTTCATATTCAAGTTAATAGAATATCAGGTTTCTCAACCATGAAAAAGAGACTGATTTGGTTCTTCCTTTGTAGAGAGTATTCATCTGGGATCTGGATGAGACAATCATTGTTTTCCATTCCTTGCTTACCGGGTCCTATGCCAACAGATATGGGAGGGTGAGTACAGTAGGCTTCAATTTTTAATATTTTTAGAGTAAATATGCCTAGAATTGAATTTATGTCCAAATGGGAATGTAGTTTTAACTTTAATAAATTTAAAATATTAATTGGAAAAATAACTTGATTTTTTGATAGAGTTAAATATGCATGTAATATATATGTAAAAATATGTGTTAAGATATTTTAGATCCTTAAAAATGAGATAAAGTTTATACAATTAAATCATTCTTATTTCAAACACCAGTGAATAAAAGTGATGGAATGTTATTCTAGACTGAAATTTTAAAATATATAGATGATATAGAAAGATCATTTGTATTATAGTTTTTATTTGCCCTGTCCTTTCTTAATTCACTTTATTCTTAGTGTACTCAATGGAGGAAATATTTCACTTGACATTGTCTTCAGTAATTGGCAGTGTTATTATTTTATATTCAAAATACCTGTCACAAATATCTTTTTAAGTCCCTTTGCTATGGGGCCAAATTTTTATGAATGGTATGGCAGTAGGAACAATATATCCATGCTTGAGTAGCTGTAATACTTCTCTTGGCAATGTAGGTAAAGAATATTATTAGAGACTACTTTCCATGAGCAGAACTTCAGTTTCAATATTCTTCCTTTCAGTTTCCCAAAACCTTATAAATCTTTTTTTGATATTTTGCTTGGTATTTTCATAAATCCTACCCTTACAAATTATCTCATTTATAGTGGCTAGAATAATTCGAAGTATCCTCTGATTTTGGTATTTCTCATATTTTAAAATCTTTAATGAAATAATACCACAACTCAGGTTCTTGAAGCTATTGATTTTTCTCTTTAGGAACTGAATTTGGTGACTTTGGGTATTTGCCACAATTAAATGTTAAAATTATCACCCATAAACTATGCCTTCTCTCTTTACAGATTTTACCTAGGTATTAATTCTTTTGATATTTATGCTGCTATGTACATACAGAGTACTTGCTGTATAAGTGCAGTATGGAGAAATTATCAATTGGGCGTCAGAGTATAGCTTTCCTTTTCATAATCCTAGAGATGCACCTAATCCAAAATAAAGGCCCCCAAAATATACATCTGTAATTACAAAAACATTCCACTCTTTGACCCTGTTCAGAAATAAGGTATCTATAAAGTACAATATGTTCCATCTTTATGTTAAAACGGTATCTGTGAGAAGATGATTATTAACCAAAATGCAGGTAATAAAAGGTAGCTTAGAGTGAGGTGAACTTCTCATGGCCTGCTGCCCTCATGTCAGTCTTTGGCCATAAATGGCTTACACATGAAATTCACACCTAACCTCAAAACCACTGGCTTCTTACCATATCTAAACAAAATGTTAACAAATATCTTGAGTTTTATTTTTAAAACTATATCAGCCATTAGTATTTTAAGGCTTTACCAAATAGTATTTTTTTGTTAGTTTTAGTTTTTTCATAATGGGACATGTGATGAAAACTTTTATCTCATGTAATTTCCAAAAACCAACTTTATATATCTTTTAAAGTATGGGTGATTTGAGGATTAAATGTAAACTTACCCTTCATGTATAAGTTGTGGGGCCAGGAAGAGGACAAGTTTGTTAAGTCTGGCTGGGGAAGTTGTTCAAAGCATGACTTTGAGCTTGAGGTTGGAATGACCCAAAGAGACCAGCAGTCATGTGCTCATCAAGGGAAAGAGTATTCCCAGCAAAAGAAACAGCAAGTGCAGGGGCAGGAAAGGGAGTAATGTTTGAAGGGCAAAGATTCAAGGGTGACTGAACTTAGTGGAGATTTTCAGTGTCATGCAACATAGGCTGGGAGGAGGCAGCTATCAGAGTTCTGCCAGCCACAGAGAGAGGGGTTGATTCATCGTACGTGCCACAGGAATGTATTTGAATTCTTGAAGGAAAGGCAAGAGAAAATTTTAAAATTTTTAGATTACTTTGGAGAATTAATGGTTGGTGGAAAGCGAAGTGGAGGCACAAAGAGGAGATTTTTGCAGTGAACTACAGAATTTGCTATCAAATTTGATAATCATGCCTTGTAAAAATGTGCAGTTCAACAAGTGTTCATCTAAATCATTAATAATAACTGAGCTGATCAAAACGTTTTGCCTGCCTTTTATCTCCCCAGGCACTGAGGAGAGAAGTCTTAAAGTAGTTCAGGGGCAAGCTTTTTGCAGCACAAATTTTGTGGTGTTTATGAGCATTGTCAAGGGGAGCATGTGGCTGGACCTTACTCTACAGGAATATAAAGAAATGAATGCCTGACAATGTGATAGCTGTTCCGTCTCTATGGGAACCAGATACCTGAGAAGTAGCTTAGTCACAGTAGCTTAGGCAACTCAATGAGTAGGCCATTCAGAAAGGGGATACAGGATCTGGTTGATATAATACCAAATTAGGGCATGTTACAGCAATATGTACAAAAAAAAGTTTGAGAATGTCCCACCTTCCATGTAATCCTAGCTGTGGGAAGCAGGCATGTTGGGTGTTATAAGGAAGTGTTGTTTTATAACAAAGGTGATAGGAACAAAAAGAGGGTGATAGGTACAGTATAGGATTGGATAGGGAAGAGAAAGAAACTGCATATTGGAAAAATAAAGTCCATGGGTGTTACTCTAAATTAGGCTTCTGTAAATAATATCTGATTTAACATTTTTGTCTAGAGCATTTTTAAAAGTTGCTTTCAAACTGAGTCCAAATCCCCCAATTTTGTCAAAGAAAACTAGTCTTGATTTTCTTCTTTGAATGCACTCTTTAAAATAGACAATATCATGTAATAACCTCAAAGTATATCCCCCAAATGGATGTTTCAAATAAGTATGTGCTATTACGGCAGCCATGAACCTCTCTTATGGGAGGAGTCCCAAGTTATTTATATCCAATGACTTAATTATTTCAATACTTTTTTTAAATTTATGCATACAAGAACTGGGATACAGGCCAGAAGTGTGGGGAGTGAGAGGATTCTCCAGAGACAGAGTGGGGAACAGAACAGGCAGATTGACTGAAATACACTGCTGAGGGGAGCAGCAGATGAGACAGGAGAGGTCTGCTGCACCATGTGGGTAGCTCCCAGACAGGCCGGGGATTGAACTTGGCTGCAGAGGTTGTAGAGAGCTTCATAGAGCTGTGCTTAACCCCTTGAGCCACCAGGGAGGCCCTATTTCAATACTTTTTATTGATGCTTAACACTGTGTCTCTCATGGATTTATGCTAGAATAGTTATAAAAAATACGGAGCCTTGGTCCTCATTTTATATAAAAACCTAAACATGAACACTTACTACAAAGCTTAGCTTTTTAAATTGTAGGCCCTACTTATTAAGAATTTCCCCTGTACCTGGTACTCATTTAATTCAACATTAATGCTCTGAAATTGCTACTACCAAACCCCTTTTACAAATGAGGAGACTTTTAAAAGGTTAGAGACCAAATGTGAAAACCACCTAGCAACATACATATCTAGCATAAAATCAATACTCTATTTTACTGTATATTAATATAGTTGAAACATGACTCTAAAAAAAAATAACAACAACAACAAAAAACCCACTTGATTGTGGAATAGTAGCCAGATAGTAATATGTGGGATGTCTTCAAATGTATGAAATACCAATGTGTGGTGCACCTTATGGTATGATAAAATGAACTTCAGATTTGAATTCAAATAGATATAGACACAAATCCAAGTTCTGATATTTCAGTTCTTTGACCTTGAACAAACCATATATTTGTACAGATTCTCAGGTTCCTCATCCATAAGGCTGGCTACTTGGCTTACAGAACAGTTGTAAGAATTAAGTTTAATCAATAACATCTCAGTAAAAATGTAGGGGATGAGGCGAAGAGGGAGATTTAAGTCATGTCATGAATTGAAATGGCCTAGCACTATATCTTACCAATAATAATCCAACAATAAGAACAGCACAGGTGACCAATTGATCTTGTATATCCTGTCTCAGCATTTGTTTTACAATGCCCAGTGCTGCTAAAAGGTCCTCATTGTCATAGTGAGTTTTACTGTGCTCATTCAATACATTTTAAGAAAAATGCAATGGCAGTTTATCTAGACCATTGCTTCAGAACACTCCAGTTAGCCAGTAAAGATTTCTGTGTTTATCCTTTTTAAGGGAGTAACACTAAACTGAAATATTTTGGGGGGCTGACCCTCTTCCATCAAGGCTGGTGAAAGTGTTGACCTCAGCGTGGCATCCAAGCAGCCAGACACACAGTACCCTCCTTATATCCTCCTGGGACTGTAGAAGATCTGGTTACCTAATAAAACAGCCTCTTTTTTTGGAACCTCCAGACCAGGGATTGGCAAAATTTTTCCATAAGAGGTCAGAAAGTAAATATTTTAGGCTTTGTAAGCCAATGCCTGTCATACCTGGTCAACTCTGCCCTAGTAGTGCAAAGCAACCACAGACAATATGTAAACAAATAATTGCAGCTACATTCCAGTAAAACTTCATTTATACCAAATTTGAATTTTAGGTAATGTTTGTGTCATAAAATTATATTCTTACTTTGGTTTTTAAAGATGTCGACCAGAGATTGAGACCAGATATTAACTGACTATTATCCTATAGATCGAATCTGGTTCAAGATCTGTTTTTTAGCACTTTCAAACTAAGAATGTCATTTAAAAATTTAAGATGCTATTTTTAAAAAAGGCAAAGAAGAGTATTTCAGAGTGTGTATATGATCTGCAAAACCTAAAATAGCTCCCTCCTTTAGAAAAAAAGGTTACCTTCCCTGGTCTAGATCTTTGTATTGATTTATCTTATCCCTTCCTGTAGGATAAGATTACAGCTCAGTAACACCCACACTGTTGCCAACTTGAACATGAACTTATTGTAGCATCAAATTGTCTATATGCATGTAGGGCTACAATGAAACACATAAATTTATTAGGGTAGGTGACATGGCTGTAACAGATAGGCCTAAAATTTCACACAGTAGAAATGTATCTCTTTCTTATTTAATGGTCTCCAGTGGATTTTTAGGTT